CCTAAATCAGGAACCAGACAAGGATGCCACATTCTCCATCCTATTCACATATACTGGAATTCCTACACAGCAATAGCAAGAAAGAATAAAAGTAATAACAAATAGAATAAACTGTAATACCCATTGCAGACGCAATCCTGTATCTAAAGACCCAAAAAACTCTACTTCAGAAGCTTCTAATATTCATCAATAGTCTAAGCAAGTAGCAGATATAATCAAACATTAGAAAAATCATTAGCATTTCTAAATACACTAATAAGAGCAAATTAAAAAGAAATACATGAAATAATTCCATTTACCAATCAGCCTCAAAATAATTCAAATACCTAGCTGTAAGCCTAACAAAAGATGTGAAGACCTCTACAAAAAAAACTATACATTTCGAAAAAGAACTTGAGAAGACTTATAAAAGTGGAGAGTTCTCCCATGCTCATGGATTGTAGAATCAACATAGTAAAAATGTCGATACTCCAAAGTAATCTACATGTTTAATGCAATTCCCATAAAATTCCAATGACATTCATTAAGAACGATAAAAATCTACCATTGAAATTTATATGGAAACAGAAGCCACGAATAGCCAAGGCAATACTCAGTCAAAAGATAATACAGGACGGATCACATACCTGACTTCAAACTATATTACAAAGCAGTAGCAATAAAAACAGCATGGTACTGGCACAAAAACAGGACATGAAGACCAGTGGAACAGAATAAGGATCCAGATAGAATCAACCAAAACTATAACCAACTGCTTTGACAAAGGCGCAAAAAATATACAATGGAGAAATAGCAGCCTCTTCAACAAAAAAACTGCTGGGAAAACTTTAGCAGTCTGAAAAAAACTGAACCTAGATCCATGTATATCATCCTATACCAAGATTAACTCAAAATGGATAGGATCTTAATATCAGACCACACTCTAAGTTGATACAGGAAAGAGTGGAAATACCTGGAATTAGTAGGTATAGGTCGAACTTTCAACGAAACCCCAGCAGCGCAGCCAACTAAGAGATAGCGTAGATAAATGGGACCTCATAAAACTAAAAAGTCAGTTCATCAAAAGAAAATGGTCTCTAAACTGAAGAGACACCCACAGAGTGGGAGAAAATATTTGCCAGCTACACATCAGACAAAGGACTGATAACCAGAAATATATAGGGAACTTAAAAACTAAATTCTCCCAAAACTAATGAACCAATAAAGAAATGAGCAGTGAACTAAACAGAACTTTCTCAAAAGAAGAAATTACAAATGGCCAAAAAAAAACACATGAAAAAAATGCTCACCATCTCTAGCAATAAGGAAATGCAAATTAAAACCACACTAAGATTCTACCTCACCCCTGTTAGAATAGCCATCATCAGCAACACCACCAACAACAGGTGTGGCGAGGATGCGGGGAAAAAGGAACCCTCTACACTTTTGGTGGGAATGTAAACTAGTACAACCACTCTGGAAAAAAATTTGGAGGCTACTTAAAAAGCTAGACATGATCACCATTTGATCCAGCAATACCCCTCTTGGGGATATACCCAAAAGACTGGACACAGGTACTCCAGAGGCACCTGCAACCCATGTTTATTGCGGCACTATTCACAACAGCCAAGTTATAAAAGCCAAGATGCCCACCTATTTGAATGGATTAACAAAATGTGTACCTATACACAATGGAATTTTAGCAGCATGAAGAAGAACAAATGTTATCATTCGCTGGAAATGGATGGAATGGAGAACATTATTCTGAGTGAGGTTAGCTGGCTCAAAAGACCAAAATCGTATGTTCTCCCTCACATGTGGACATTAGATCAAGGGCAAACACAACAATGGGATTGGACTTTGAGCACATGATAAAAGCGAGAGACAACAAGGAGGGGTGAAGGATAGGTAAGACACCTAAAAAACTAGCTAGCATTTGTTGCCCTTAATGCAGAGAAACTAAAGCAGATACCTTAAAAGCAACTGAGGCCAATAGGAGAAGGGGACCAGGAACTAGAGAAAAGGTGAGATCAAAAAGAATTAACCTAGAAGGTAACACCCACGCACAGGAAATCAATGTGAGTCAATTCCCTGTATAGCTATCCTTATCTCAACCAGCAAAAACCTTTGTTCTTTCCTATTATTGCTTATACTCTCTCTACAACAAAATTAGAAATAAGGGCAAAATAGTTTCTGCTGTATTGTATTGTATTGAGGGGGGGGAGGGAGTGCTAGTGGTGGTAAAGGGAGGGGGGGCAGGGGGGAGAAATAAACCAAGCCTTGTATGCACATATGAATAAAAAAAAAATTAGCTACAACTAGGCATGGTAGCTCATGCCTGTAATCCCAGGTACTCCACAGGCAGAAGTAGAAGGAAAGTGGCTCCAGGCCAGCCCAGGCAAAATTAGCATGAGACCCTATCAGACAAAAACAACTTCAAGTAGAAAAAAAAAATTAGCAACATAAAAATGAAAGGATATTTCTCTTATCTTACTTGTGTAAACCACCCCAATACTTCCTACTAATGTTATCACACTTCTTCAATTAAAAAACACTCATTCAAGGCAACTAAAGTAATTCCGTTTATAGTACTACTGCATAGAAAAAGACAACATCTCTGCACTTTCCAACAAAAAGACCAGCCAAAAGAACTGCTGCTTCTGTAGCAGTAGTCAAGTTATATTATGTTTTAATCAAGGATCCAAGCCAAAAATTAAATAGTTAACATTCAAATTACACAAAACAATGGATCCATGCTAGGGCCTAGATAAAATTTAAACTAGCATCTCTAACAACAGTTCCACAAATTGAAAAAGAAAATACTTTGGTTACAAGTCTCAAAAAAATTTTCCTGTTAAAAAATTGTTGATTTTTTTTTCCCCTTAGTAAAGTCATCCTTTTCTTCCTTACAGAGTTCCAGTTATTAAACTCATGGCAATTTACATAAACAGAAAAACACACCCTCTATTGATTTCCTTTTTTATTTTTCTGAGAAATACTCTCATTTTCCTATTATAAATATTGCAAGCATTCACTTGTTACATTTCTCTGTCAATCTATGTACACAATTATAGAAACTTACATGTGAGGTGTATGTGGCTCCACATACTTTGGAGTATGAAATGAAAGCAAATTTAACAGCTGATAATAAATACATTAAATCATAAACAAGATACTAAGTGGTACTATAACTGTGCCAAGAAAGTATATGTGGGTTAGTCCTGATAACCATCCCTAGAAGTTATTGATCAAAGCCCTTTCTCTTCAACTGCCCAATAGCAACTCAGCACCAATGACTGAAAATCTATAAGGAATCCCTATCTTGATCTTTATTTTCAAAGGTACATTAAAATGCCTAAGATTTTTGTTTCAAAAATAATATTGGAGAAAGGAGTGGGTAAAGGTGTAGATTAAACAAGACTGGCCATAAGTTAATAACCACTGAAGCTCAAGGCAGATAAACAAAATTTATTACCTTGTTCTAGCTATATTTGTATATATTTTTAATTTCCTTAAGAGTATCAAAACAATCAAACTACTGATTTACCACAAAAATGCGTATTAAAATAAATTTAACTCTAATAGATGAGCAGTTAAGAGAAAAGATAATAGAACCATAGAACAACAGTAGATGAGCAGACTCTAAAGCAAGAAAAACATAGCTTGTTATAAGTCACTACATCACTACACAAAACAAAGTGGTGAAAAAAATCATCTTAGTAGTTGTATTTTAATGGTGTATTTTCGAAAGTACCATAATTCATAATAAGCCTTTTTAGAAATTCACCATTAACTCACAAGTCTGCTACAAAGCATACAGAGAAATTCTTCAGAAAAAGTACATCCTAGTGAATATCCTAACATCAGACATTATGAGAAATTAGATTAGCTCAGAAAGAATTGTGACAATGCTATCAGTAACAGTTGTGGTTGTTGCAGTAGTGATGATGGTAGTGTTAAAGGTTATCTCTTACTAAGCAATTAATTGTATATGCCTAAAAGCACTTTTATAATTCATTTAATTCTCACAATAACTCTAAGAGATAGACACTTCTAATACGCCCATTTTTGAAACAGGGAGACTGAGATACATGGAGGTACCCAATGTTCATACCAAATAAGCAACAGGACAGATGCAAACTGAGGCTGTTTGGCTGTACAACCCTTGCTGTTAATTTCCACAATATATTTTCCCTAACCACCTTACAATAGAGGAGCTAAAAGAAAAGTGAGGTAAACTGTTCATGCTTCATAACTATTCATTAAATCTTCTCAAGTTATGTTTCTCATCCTCTTCTAAATGTTCTCAAATTCTTTTCAACTACTGGATCCAGAAATGGACAGTGCTTCTTCTCTCCTCACCCCTCAAAGCACCCACCCCATTTCTTGTCAACTGGGAAAGTCAACAGAAGCTGAGAAAAAAATTCTAAATAATTTACTCTGCTAATTTTAAGAAGAAAAGTCTGAAGGAAAGAAAGATAAAGCTAATAGTTTAACTTAGTTTTATGGACAACAGAAAATAATAATGCCTTTCTCTGGATTAGACAAAAGTATATTAAAATACCTACGTAACTACAACATACAGTTTTAATAAAGAGCTGTCATTACAACTTGGTTGCTTCATATTTATCTGTACATTAATAAAGTATAAATATTTAAAAGGGTAGCAAAATCAGCTATAATCTAATATTAGCAATGTTTTGATCCAAAAAGGCAACAGCTGTGGTATTTGGTTTCGATAATACAAAAACATAATCATTGTTATACTAAAAGTGTTCCCAAAAATTCTAGTTGCTTTAATTATATAATCTCTGCTGTGTGCTACTTAATCTTATCTAGGGGTTTTTAAATAGCCTTATATTAATCAAGAATTAGACTGTTTTTATTCCTATAAAAGTCATATAAATGTATTTTTAAATTTTTGTCTTTACTATAGCTTCACAAAATTATAATACACAAAATTTACAGACTACATTTAAGTAAAGGGGTATAACTAGCAGGCCCTAAGCAGAGTACCTGACAATTTTTTCCTAGTGTTTCTACAAGTACTTACTTATTAAGCAATGTATGTTATGGGAGTACCGAGAATTATCTGGGATGGTGAAGCTGCCATCACAGATAGCAACCTGACTCTCACCAAATGGAAGAGTGAAGAAACAAAGTTTATACAGTAAACATCCCAGGGCCTGTAAAACAAAGGAACACCAACATGTCAGAGCTCAGTAATCAACTTAACCACAAAACATAAAAATAGCCCTAAGACAAACACTGAATTTGTTAGTTGAAAACAAATTCGAATGTTTCTGTATTAGATCAAACTTTTCATAAATTATTGCTTAAACAAATTAACATTTAATTTTTGAAAAGACATTTAGCTTCACATTTTGTTTTTATATGACATCTGGACTAGTTGACTATTTTATCTAGATAATGAATAGCTAAAATTAGAAATGACTGGTTCTTTTAGTACATAACTAATATATGACCTACAAAGTAAGCACAAGTCTTTTTGTAAAAATTTTTTTACTTTACTACAAAGTAAGTTTTAAAATCCTATGATTTCAAATATAAGTTAGTTAGGCAGCACAGTTAAAATTATCAGACAACACCAGTAAATTTTATTGTACCAAACATGTCATCATATCATACTATAAAAATTAGCTGCCTGTTTATTATCCAATAATCTTTACTGTATTTTATGCTAATTATATTTTTAACATCAAAAAGGAAGAACTCTGTCTACTTAGTTGGCACAGTTTCATAAACATCACAGCACCAATAAATCTACTTACTGACAATGATGGCAAAACACTCTAAAACACAAAGTGTTTCTAGAAAAGTAGAACTGGGAAGTTTCTAACTAAGCTATAAAAGCTCAAAACTGAAAAACAGTTTAAAAAAAGATTTTTAGCTCAAGAAATCATCACTTTATCACAGAAAGTGTCACCTACAATTATTAACAGTATAAGAAGCATCTCCAATTCTAAACAAGTTTTATTATATTATCCAACAGTTAGTTTACTGTTATCAGTAATGCTAACATTTGGCCTTATTATCTAAAAATTAGCAAACAAGATCTCTGTCTACTTGGCAAGCATAACTAATAAGTACACTGACTTTTATAACTACTGTGAAAATCATAATACAGAAATAATATTAATTTATAAAGCATTTTCATACTGTAGCAATCTCCCAATGACAAAAGTTTAAAAGCTCTAGAAATTTCAACATATTGGTTCAATTATATGATTAGTAAAGTTGTAAAGATTCTAAATAGAAATACCAGCTCAATATGGTTTAAAAAGACATATATTTTTTATACTATAGTGAAGCTATTTTCAGCACATATACAGCAAACTGAACATAAGGCTCCCTGAAGAGCTCTAAAGACACACACACACCACACACACACACACACACACACACACACGCATGAGTATATACACAATTAAAAGTGGGTGTAGCCCGATGGTAGGGTATTCGCCTAACATGCTGCTATGCCCTGGATTTAATCCCTAGCACCACTCCAATAAGAAAAAAAAGTCAATCTAAATATTCTGCTTTGCATTGCATAAACACAATGATATGTCATAAGGATTTCACATAGAAGGCATTTCCATCTTTATGCATTTGACACAATGAGAATACTAGAAACATGAGGGAACAAGTGAGCCAATTTTGAAGTCTGACTGTTCACCATCTTCAACTTTCATTTAAAGATAATGAAATACTTTAACCTGAACACAATAATTTTCTAAGTGAGTTCTAACCTGAAGCACCATCAAAAATAGAATTCTTATATGAATACTTCTTCTGGATCCTAGACTCACATCCTAAAATCTAGCATATTTCTCTTTCACTGAACTAATTAAAGCAAGCATAAAGATGGTCATTTTGGCAATTAAAACTTTGCCTCATTCAAGCATGTAAACATATACTGTTTTATGATTATGTTTCCTTTTCTACCTTTGAGTACTTATTTACACATATAGTAAATCTTATGAAAAAGTAAACAACAGAAAAGGGATTACCTCCTTTATATTAAGATGGTGGACAATAAATATGTTCTTCAATAACAATTTTTAATTAACCTTTGATGGTTTCAAAACATCAGTGAAGCTATGATGCCTGTTGTTTATGTATTATTAAAATGCTTTTTATCAGATAATATGGACCTGAATGGGCATCATAAAATTAAGCCAGAAAAGACCTCCACCTTTTCTAATACTTACATCTTATAAATTACGATCCAACTCACTTTGCTTTCTGTATTATACATAACCCTGGGCTTTACCATCAGCCACTGAATGAGTCAAATGTTAATGTTGAGGAAAGAAATTAGCTGTGAATTATAAAAGCTCATGTAGCACCAAAGTAACTACATCAAGCTTACTCGAAATTTGCTTTAGTCACATGTACGGCTTAAAATTCATCTACCACAAGAATTACTATTTGGTGAAAGTATGTATGTTATATAACAGGAAATATATCAAAGATATTCTTTATCTTGCAAAATATTTGCCTCTTCAGATTTTCTTTGGAACTCTAACCCCAATAGAGAAGAGTCCAGAGGAGAAGAACCAAGGAGATAATATTTGGTCTCACCTATTATGCTTGACAAGTTTCTGAACATTATGGGGTTTTTTTGTTGTGGTGGTCTGGTTTTTTGTTTTGTTTTGTTTTTGGTAGTACTGAGGATTGAACCCAGGGTCTCATGTTTGGCAGGTAAACACTCTACCAGTTGAGATACATCCTAGTCCTGAACATTGTTTTTAAAACAAAGTAAACCTGATGTTTGTTAAATTCTAGAACTATTTCAACGAATTTCATTTCTCTACCAGTAATATGCTCATCAGTGGTAAATATGGCTAGTTTGTTTAAATGAACTCACATTTGAAATAGTTTCTTACTAGTTCATTAAATACAATCCAAAATGTTTTTTATGAATTATGTCTACTCTAAGAGATGCTGAAATTCTAACATAAAGTTCAATTATAAAAAAATAAGATTACTTCTAATTTAATACAGATATATAGATATGCTAAATGCTAAAGAACCTCAATATACAGTACTCAATTTTCTATTAAAAAGAACCTAAAATACTGTATGTACTCTTTCAATTTATCACAACAGTTCAATCAGGAAAATTCAACTGCACCTTACCTATACCTTAGAATACAACAGCAAGAAATAAAATGCCTACCAGGTTAGAGATTCTTGGATAGAACACTACAGCAGATACTAAAAAACTTGATCCAGAAAGTTATCCTGAAATTTATATTCAGTTTTTGAGTACTATGATCAAAATTGCAATCAAAACAGAAAATGTCAATATATTCACCTACAATCTAAACCGTAAACCTCACTGTAGTAAACATTACATTATATGGAAGGTTTTCACTGTTTTCCATCTCAGCATTGAGAAGATAAAACATTCTAAGTATTTTTCTTCTTCTCAATAGGAAGCTCTATACAACATCACTTTCTTCTACTTGGAAGGAATGCCTTTTGGGAGGCAAGGCTACCCTCAGATCTTTTTATTTGGTTAGAGCAAATTTGAGCCTTTCTTGGCCTTACCCAGATATCAGCCTTGGTGGTGATTGGCTTCCCTCCATAAAGGTTAATCATTTCAGGGGCTCTGTATGACAGAGTCGTATACCTGACAGCAAATGAGTGAAATGAACATTTTTTTTAAAAAGACATATAATAGTTGTTTCTCATTAAAATACAGTAACAAGTTTTTAGGCTCAAAACATTATACAGAAACAATACTATTTTTAAAAGCTCATTTAAAATTCATCAAAAATTAAGCAATACAGAGCATCTATAGACATTTTTATTCAACAAGAACAATACCATTTTGATAATGTAAGAGCTTAATTTCCTTTACTATAAAATCACAAATTGTAACATATTAGAAATAATTTTCCATTAATTTATGTGAAATAATGCAATTTAACTATAATAGTTTCCTTATCAAAATATTTTAGTCTATTAAAAGCAAAACTTCTACCCTCTCAAAAACTTCATTTTTGTTTACTAATGAGTATGTTTTTATGAATGTTAATATACTTCCTTGAATACAGTAGTAAATCTTCAGTATTTTTATAATTGCTGTTTTAAAAGTAACCTAGTTATCCTAATTCTAACTACACACATTATGTATACTTCTAATATCAACTGTCAACATAAGCTATCTGGAATTAAAAGATAAATTTTAAAATACTATTAAAATATAATATAAAAGCCCAAATCCATTATGAACAGAACATTTTAATGAAGTAGTGCTCAAATCTCATGGTAGAAACTCTCAGAATATGAAGGGATCTTTTATATCATCCAAGGTTCATTTGAATGTTTTATACATGTTATAAAAAGAACCTTAAAACTAACAATCTATCACCTAACTCTTTCCAAATAATCCTGACTAGTGAGACAGTCTGAATGATGTTACTGAAGAGGAATGATTTAAGAAACCAAAATAATGCATAATGGCAGGATTTGTTCACTACTATGCCCAGCATCACAAACACTAAGTACTGATTAGTCCATTAGCTCCTTAATTGAGCCACAAAGCACAAGCACTCATAATGAGCTTTCAATTCATCACAAAAGTTCAGTCAGGACAATTCAACTGAACTTTACCTACAATTTAGAATACAACCGTTAGAAATAAAATGCCTAGCAGGTTAGAGATAGTTGAATGGAAAATTACAGCAGCCACTAAAAAACTTAATTCAATTTTTTTTTTTTTTTTTTTGGCCAGTGACCAGTGACTAACACCTACAATCCTAGCAACTTGGGAGGCTTAAATCAGTACAATTATGATTGGCTAGCCAGAGTAAAAAAATTCCTGAGACCCCCCCACCCTCAACTCAAAAAAGCTGCATGTTTGTTGGCTTGTGCCTGTCATCCCAGCTACAGCATGAAACATAAAATAGGAGGATTGTGATTCAGGCCAGCCTGAACAAAAAAATAAAACCCTACCTCAAAAATAACCAGAGCAAAAAGGGCTAGAGACATGGCTTAAGCAGGAAAGTGTCTGCAAGTGTGATGTCCTTAATTCAAACCCCAATACTCCAAAAAAAAAAAAAAAATTACTGTATGGATATAAATATATTCCAAGAAAATAATACTAAATTTTATTATTCTTATGTTCTTCAGAACATTTATGTGTTTAGCAATGTGTTTGTTTTTATGGAATCTAACATGATTATTCCAGGCTGTTTCCTGAGTAGAAAGATGTAGTCTAGAAAGTCATACATTATACAATGGGTGAGAGTAAGAGCAGCTCTTTTGAACTGCTCAAAATACTGTAGCACAAATGATAGCATCTAAACAGTTTTAAACAACTGCAACTTGTCAGAAAATGATGAGAGGTAATTTAGAAAATCCAACTACTTATAAATTCCTTTCTGACAGATCCTATGTCATTTTATAAAAGTAATCTAAGACTAACAGTTCTATTTTCTAAAACTAGAAAATGGAAAAGTTAGAAAAAGGTCCTCACAAATACTCCAAGAACCACACAAACTACAAGATTAAGAAAACATAAAGCATGTAAGATATGTTTTACCAGAAAGTTTTCCAACACACCATTACAAAATAACAGTGACTTATTTGTTTTTTGTGGGTTTTTTGTCAGTACTAGAGTTTTGTATTCAGGGCCTCATGCTTGCTAAGTGAGCCCTCTACCACTTGAAGCATACCACCAACTCTTTTTGCTTTAGTTTGATTTTAGGGAGGGTCTGGCACTTATTTACCCAGGGCTAGACTCATAGACTTCAATCCTCTTATCCCTGCCTGCACAGTAAGTGTAACTGCACACATGCTCCACCATACCCAGCTTGTTTGTGAGACGGAATCTCCCTAACTTTTTATCTAGACTGGCCTTGAACCTCAATCCTCCCCATCTCCACCTCCCAAATATCTGGGATTACAAACGTGCACACCACGCCTGGCCCTTCATACAGTCTTAACACTTTTTTCTGTAGTCTTCAATGCATACAAAAGTCAGTCTTCTTATATTAAATAAGAGACCATACACGTTTTCAAAACTTTTCATAGTAAGCAGAAATTGTTCCATATTAAGTAAAAATGAAAACATTAAGCTGAACTCAAAAATTACATTAAATTCCAATTCTCTTTGATTCCACTAATCACTACAGCATCCTTTACAAGTTTTTTATAAATGTTTACAGTGTAGGCAAAAAAACTGTATCCATGTTAAAATATATTTCCTACTTGCTATTCAGACATAAATTAATCACTGACTATAGCACAGAAATATTTTGAAGGAATAGATGGTCACAGACTCAACTAAAACCCCCATGAGACAAATGCAATAAAGACACTTACTTTTTAATTTCTTCTTCTACCACATTAACTCCATCTTTTTGAGGATTGAGAAACTTATTAGTGGCACTGCCAAAGTCACAAAGTACATAATTTCCACCATCATTTAACAAAATATTTTCTACCTTAAGAAAAGAAAATCAATAATTAGTATTTTGAAAGGGAAAATGCAACCTGTTCATATTAGAGGACCTGTACCACATATATGTACTACACACACACATACACACACACACACACACACACACACACACACACACACACACACACATACATTTATACACACAGACATGTAATATACTTCAACCAGAGCAAAAATATACTTTATAGCCAGGCACAGTGGGGCACATCTGCAATCTCAGCACTCAAGAGGCTGAGAAAGGAATATAGCTTCTCCCACTCTTGGATGATTTATGCAAGGGGTCAACTATCCCTAAATCATCACTAAAACTGCCTCTATGAGAGAGAAGATTACTAGTAAAGTTTCTCTCTTTTACTGTACCTCAATTTTTCTCCTTTTTGAATATTTCAACCTACCTGTAAATGAGAAGTAATGAAAAACATTTACCTTCTACTTCTGGTTAACTCCTACAGGTTGAGTAACCCTTATCCAAAATCCTTGGGGTCACAAGGGACTCTGATTTTAAGATTTTTTTGGTATTTCACATTGGACTCAAGTTTAAGAGTGAAATTCATTTAATACTGGATATACACCTGTACATATAGTCTGACAGTAATTGTATATAATATTTTGTGCACCTGCCATTTTGACTGCAATCTGTCATATGTGGTCAGGTGCAGAATTTTCCACTTGTGACATCATGTCAGCACCCAAAAATTTCAAATTCTGGATTTTCTGATTCTGGATGCTCAACCTATAGAGCCATTTATTACTTAAAATATACTGAAAAATACAAATTATACCTTAACTTGGAGATCAGAGTTGCAGTAACTAAAACAAATCATGAACACAAGTTTTGGGGGGTTTTTGTTTGTTTTTTGTGATACTGGGGTTTAAACTTAGGGCCTCCCGTTTACAGGCAGGCACTCTATCACCTGAGCCCATGCCCCAGCCCATGTGCAGCAGTTTCCTGAATTCTACAAATTGGGTGCTACTTACTAGCCTGTATATCCTTCACAATTTGCTTAACCACTCTTGTACTTTAGCTATCTGGGAAATGGGGAAGATAATATCTACTACTGGAATGTTAAAATTAGGTGAATTAACAGTAGAGCGCAGACTTCTTTAATTCCTAAGTCAACCTATCTGCCTTCAGAAGTGATCAGAGAAACACTATAGCAAAATTTCTGACATGGTATACAGTGACACAAACAGAAATAGTCTAGGAAAAAAGCATTAATCTCCACTTACTCCCTTTGTAAAATAATTACAGGTTAACGGATTTAACTGTCAGCAATTCTGATCCCAAATTTGTGCACTAAAACATTCTGGTTTAGGCGGTTATAGCTTTAGGTTAAAATAATGTTAAAAGACAGAGATTCAAAAATTATTATCTACTTAGGCTAAGAGTCTTCCAAGTTCAAATATAAAAGTATAGAACTGAGCCATGAAATTTCTAGTACTTACAGTGACAATAATCAATTTATTACTTGCTAAGTTATTGAAAATACATTTAATAATATAATGTGCATCCATTACTAAGTTTAAGAACTAAAATGCAAGCCAGGCAATGGTGGCTCACATCTGTAATTCTAGCTACTCAGGAGGCAGAGATCGAGAGGATTGTGGTTTGAAGCCAGTCCTGGACAAATAGTTTTGAGAGATCCTATCTCAAAAAAAACCCATCACAAAGAAAGGGCTGGTGGAGTGGCTCAAGGGAGAAGAATGTCTGCCTCGCCCTGAGTTCAAACCCTGGTGCCTCCTCCACCTTCCCCTTCTCCCAAAAAAAAAGAGCTAAAATGCAATGAAAGTGCCTGATTTGTCCTCTCAGATCTCATCTCTGTTGTCCCCAATCAGATTCTTTTACTCTTAAGTTTGGCATTTAAATTCTCATATACATTTTCTTATTTTATGTCCACCA